AGATAAAACAGAGTTCACAGCCAGGGATAGGCCTATTCTCTTTGAATTTATCCAATATACTTTTAAAGTTTCCCAAATTAGTGACAGTTAACATATCTTGGAGCAATGAATTTCCCTTCTTAATTGTTTGCTGTGTGAAAAAGTGCTCCCTTTTTCTTTTAAATCTCTTTCCAAGTAGCTTCATTAGATGGCCCTGGCCCTTGTGTTTTGGGACGGGGGCAAAAGCTTACCTGTCCATTTTCTGTATGCATGGTTTTATATATCCTAGTTATAATTCTCTGAGGGAGGAAAGTCTTCATTTATACCCCTATAGGCAGAGTCACCAGTTGATAATGTTGATATCATTTGAATGGTATTGGTGGATGGGTAGAGCTAAATGAATGCAGCTGTAGTGAACCTTCTGGGGTCATATTTATTTTTAATTACAACTCAGATTAAATATTAAAGTAAAACTCTGTGAACAATTTGATTGTCAACAATATTAAAGGAAGGAAAATTATTTTCAGCCAGCCAGAAAGTGACTTTCAAAAGAACATTAATAAAGAAGGAAAATATCACATTCCCAGTTATAGGAGTTCTACCACAGGCCTTGCTTTGTGAAAGACTGTACTGACAACAATCCAATAAAACTTAATGGAAGCAGAAGAAAAGATATACAAGTCAAAATGATTGCACTGCTATTTGTACATCATGTTAGATATATCAAACACTCCAGAATGTAGCAAATTTTGACTACATGGTCTATTTTCCATTGTTACATTAAAAACATTTTCAGCCTTCTGTAGTTCAATAAAATATTTGGGAAAGTTCAAGCAGGATCTAATCAAACTAAAAAATATACAACAGTCCAAAGGGATAGAGAAAGTATCCAGTTTTTTGAAGTTGTCTACTAGCATTTGACAAGACTGCTAAGTACATTGGGCTAACTATGGCTGAGAAGAACAATAAACTATTGTGCCCAACAATAAAGAGGAACTGGCTCAACACAAATTGGGATGTTCTTTCAAAGCTGTCATCAACAAGAACAGAACCATATATTGTATGGTTGTTACATCTTCAAACATAACTTTTAAAGCCGAGATCAATGATGTCAGTACACCCATTGTATGTATGGCATAATTAGGTATGGAACAGTTGGAACATGTCTTGTGTTTGCACAGACAGAAGTACAAAATAAAGACAGATCATATGGAAATAAGTGATTGTGGCATTCAAGACTATCCACAGATATCAGAGAAGTGTGTCATTTATGACCTGGACCCCTGCCCCAGAACTTGGTTCTCTGTCCTTACATGTCAATGGCACTTCAAGATCTCCAATTCCAGGCGTGTATTTGGTTCTTGGACTATTGACCCTGAAGCAAAAAGGGCTCAAGGTTAATTCCTTATCAATATTTTGTTGTCAGCTCTTTAATCAAAATGAGAGGTTGGGAACAACTAAGGTGTGAAGAAAGCAGGATTGGATACTGGACTTTCCAGACCATTAAGACCCATGTTTTATTGTTTTGCCATGTAGTAGGTTAGGCCGAAGCATTTGGTAAGACATGTCAAGTTTTCCAATAATTTTTGGTGTTATATTAAACACATTTAATTAATTAAAATAAAAGTCAAATAAATGTTTAAGAAGGTTAAAAACTAGTTGATATCAAATTGCCGTTTACTGTAATCTTCAAAATCTGGCTTTAATTCCTGAATCCTGGCAAAATACTGACCCTCTTAAGTCAAACCTGCAGTCTGCTCATAAAAGGAAAGAGTATTGACCAGCTCGTAAAGTTCTTATGGGACAAAAATAAAGATTGTACTAAAGTGAGTTATGGAAATAGTTACCGACAATATATATTCAGCAAAGTGATTGAAGGTCCTTTAACTATGAGTAGATGATCTTTTCTCCAATACACTTTAACAAGCACTATTTCCTTTATACCTGATTTTCCTCTCAGTTAAAAATTCTCTTACTTTTCAAAGTTCTTAATTATGTTCACAAAAGAGTTGGAAGATTTCTACATGAATAACAAATGTATTCCTAATCAACTTTAATTTCCAATATCACCAGTTCTGATATCTTTTGCACTTAAATATTTTTCATTTTTTTTGCCCAAATTAGAAATCATGTACAAATTTATGTCTGAACCACTCCTGAAACAAACATGTCCCTATCAGAAAATTATTTTAATCAATATCTTATTTCCCATCTAGATGCATCAAGGAAGCTCAAAAAAACAACATGTTTCAACACTAATTTGCTTTAAAGCAATATAATACTTTTAGCTTGGTTGGTTGCTTGTAGCTGTTTCATTACCCAACTAGGTAATCTTATCAGATAACCTCATCAGTTAAGTAATGAAATGTCTCCAAGCAAACAACCAAGTTCAGAGAACACCAAGAACTCCAGAGTTCAACCCTGAACTATACTATCTATATTATCTTCTGTTGGGTGATTCTTTTGGAAAATCCACAATTTTTGATGACTTGATGGATTTTAAATATTTATGATAGAACATATAAACCTAATACGTCCAAAATCCATTCAAAGTCACTTTAACAATCCTTATGATTTCAACCCCAAATGTGACATTATGACAAGTCCATCTGAAAAAACAAAAAATTCTTACTCTTAAATTGCATGTCAGCAAGACAATTCAACCGACAATTATCAAGCATTCTCTGATATGTCTAATATACCTGGAACCATTTTATTAACATAATTAAACTTACATAAAATCATAGGAAACCAATTTTAATTATCTAAATGGATCTCTGCTAACTTACCAGGACAAGATACTCAAACCCATTTATTCCACAGATCCTCAAACTAATATCATTGTTTTGGTTCAACTTTTGGTAAAGAAAAAATTAGTAACTTAGGAGTTACATTCCAAAACCGTCAACTTCTGCAAACTTCTGAAACAATAGTATCTGGGACAAACTGAATAACAAACAACTTTTTCTACTTGTTTCCCAGTACTGTCCTTATCATCACTAGCCTTGCCACCTCTTCCCCCATTCCCCTCTATTTCCCCAGTATGATGAATTTTCCCCTCCTGTCAAACCATTTCTCATCTTGCTGCTGCTTCTCCAAACCCCAACTCCTTTTTACCTCTCTTATTAGACTGCCCATCTGTCCCTAGCCATCCTACTCCTATAGGCAATAATCCTCTAAAGAATAAAATAAACAAAATAAAGCATTAATTTGCTATGCAAAGGTTGAGCAGGCCTCAGAGGTCAGAGTTGCACACCGTTACACAAAAGTGAAGATGACAGCATGTATATATTTGTTGTTTAGTAATTTCTTATTGCAATTTAAATGGTACTGAAAAACAATATTCACTTCAGATGCCAAGGCAAGACTTATCATAATTTTTGCTTAACAGAGATATAACATTTAAGTATTTGAACTGCTGATTATCTGGTTATTCACTCTGATTAATTTTGCATTTATTCTTCTAGTCTTATAGGATATAATTTATTTTTATTATTTAGATTTTAATTTTCTTTGACAATAAATGGAAATATTATTTTTAATATATACATCTTTAGAGTGAAACAAACTCATTTGAGGCATGCAACTCATCTAGTTCCAAATTAAAGTGATGTACAGGGGAGGCAGCAGAATTCATCATATGCTTGATCAGTGCTAAAAACAGTCTGTAGTAATTATATATATAATTTGATGTAACAGACATGCTGATGCAATATATAGCACAAGGAGTTTAGGTTCAGTGAAAACTACTTTGAATACATTTATGTAAATCAACTGTATGCAGTAATTTTCAGAATGAGCCTGCAATTCTCAATGATTACCTGGAAGTTTAAAGAAAATTAGCATTCAGAACCAAGCTGTTGGACACTGAATGCAGAATTAATTAGTTGAAGTGCACTAATAATCACTATTTTAAAACAAATGAAGCATAAAAACATAGACATCTTGCTAATTTTTCATATTATTCATCATGGATTTGCATAAACCACCCCCACCCTCCAAATATTAAAAAAACATAAAAACTAAAATTTATACAGAACAGCTACCTAGTTAATTCTCCAATATTTTTGGCAATATTGTGGAAAAAGAGCCAAAATCTAATGCGTTCAGCATAAAGCTGCAGCAAATCCATCTGAAAGATAAAGCATGTCCTAGTTTAGTATAAAAACTCCTCCTACTAGATCTGCAGTTAAGACAGTTTAAGAAACAATATTAAAAACCTTTACATTATTCTTCTGGAATCCCATTAATTTCATTGGGATTACTATAGAACTAAGAACTGAGATCTTATTACTATTTTCCAAGTTATACAGCTACTACTCCATAACAAGTTATATAGCTACTATTCCTTACTTGAAATCTTCTAAATATATTAGAATTATAATTCCAGTAACTCCCAAAGAGCTCCATACTGGATGATCATTTCTAATGCACAGATAAACTAGGAACAAACTTTTTAATGGATGACGCAAAAGCATACGCTTAGAAATAAAGGACATGCAAGCAACACTAGAATATACAAATTGAACAGCCATTTAAACTTGAAAAAAAGAAAGATAAGATAGACACTAAGATGAATAATTCCATCATTTAATGTTATTATAGTTACAACAGAATATGTAGTACTCTAACCAATAGCTTTTCTTTTCCGTATATAAATCTTTATTTTAAGACTAATAGCTTTTCTTGTTATAGCTTTCTCATTCACATGTTAATATAGTAAGTAGCTATAAAATTACTTTTGTCCACCTATCCACTTAAATAGGACAATAAAGGAACATTATCTGCTACTTTTCAAACTATGATTATTGAATCAGAGTTTCATTTCTGAAAAGGGATGCATCTACGGATAAGGCAGTTACAACATACTTTTAATTTTCATGTGCAGTTCATGCCGTAGCTCTTAAAAGAGATCTGTACTAAATGGAGTAGATTCACCTTCTTAATTCTATTTTGTATCATACACACGTCAGTGGACAATACATTTTTATTTGCACAATCTAATTTCACAGTATTTTCTCCAGGTATAAGAAAAATCTGAGAGGCAAATGAGAGAGAAAAATACAGCAAAAGAATAAGCTAATAAAAGGAGAATTAAATAAACATAGTGCTGTTTACATTCTTTAGGTCCACATATTCAAACTGAACATGGTATTTAGACATGGATAAACTTAGGAACCTTTACTTCCATGTATCTCAGAAAAACTCCAATATCTGGTTTGAAATTTAAATTAAATTAGCAAATATGTGCAAACATGTTTATACCAGATTATCAGAAAATCTTCAAACTCTTGGCAAATTACAGAAGCAGAAGTCTTAATTAATACATAAACTCAATTAAGAAAAGAGGAATATGCTGATATTTTCAGACTGACCATACTAATGAGAAGTGCTTTCAATGCAACTGTACATGAAGGAGATGCAGTGAGTTGCATAGGAGGTAGGATACTCTCTTAGGTGGCTAACATGATCAGAATGCACAAAGTCAACAGTCTTAACAAGGACTTGATTCTGTCGTCGAGCCTGGACCATGTCCTCGATGTCACTTGCTAGGATGACAGAATCAGCTTTGGAATAGAAATAGAGCTCAGGCCATTTAGAAGGTTGGTTCAACATTGCTTCATAATGGCTCTCATGTATAAAGCGAGTCATAGGATACAATACAATCCGCAATGTCACTACCAGCACTGCAAATGACAGTAGAAGAAAGTATTTTATACACACATTGTATGATGCTAAGACAACTGAGAGAGCACGAATTGCACCCCTCAAGTTCTTCCTTCCAGGTGCACTATCGAAAACAGTTCCCACTACCCTCAGATGCTGGAACTGTTGTCGAGTGTGAAGAAGTTCCACAATGTAACGATAGAGCATGAACCCGCCGTTGCTGAAGACATGAAAGAGTAGAGGATTCGTCTCCACTTTGTAATCAAAAAGGAGCTTCAACAGCTTTATAGCCAGAGTCTGCATGGATTTTATACCCAAGGATTCTGAAAAAAACACAAGTCTCCATGGAGCTGTATACCGGATCACTAAACATCCCTGTGAGGAATACACATGTTTTAGTGTGGGTTTATAACTTCCTTTTTTTTTTTTTTTTTGAAAAAATGATAAAATGTGTCAACTGGACTCATATTTAGTAGAATTAAGTTTTATTCTTTTCAGTGTCAGTAACTCAGGCAAGTGATCATAGCTTATAGCTTAATCTATCGCTGTGCAGTTAACATAGTGTACAATCATTCACAGATAGCACAATACAGCAATTGAAACGTCAGACAAGGAGTGGGAAATTCAGGTTATACTTCACCCTTGGATACAAAAGTTAACTGTGTTGTCTTGAACTAGTCAATCTTTTTCACCCTCTCTTCCCTCACAGAAAAATAAGATGAAGAATTCTGTATATGCTGCTTTGAGCTACTGAATAAAATGTGGGATATACAGCTACCTACAATGGTGGTAAAAAGATGGGCTAGTGGCAGCTCCCCTTAATTATGCCTGTTGCAGTGCCTCTGCAGACACACTATCAACATTTGCGCACTTACAATCACAGAGCTGCTTCAATTTCCCCCACAATTTCTCCCCAGGTTAAATTCCATCTTAGAATTTTTTTTCTTTTCACATAGAACTTTCGTGAAGAAACTGATTTCTCCTTTGATACTTTAAAATTTCTGAATAGGTCTATTGTGGGAAAAGTGAAGATGCTACTCCTGGTATTGTTTTTTCCTTGTCGATTTCTGAATGGGCCGAATGGTTCCTTCATTTACAGATAGCAGTTGTAAGGTGAATTTAGCGGGGGGTGGAGGATAATATTCACCTTCTGTAGATAGATGGCACTGTATTTCTCTAGATATCTGTCCTTGCAGCCAGCCCATCCAAGCATTATCACCACCACCACCGAAGGGTGGATTTTATCTCCTTTTTCCAAAGAAGTTTCTGAAAAAAATTAAAAATTAAATAAATAAATTCTGCATCTTGACAAAAGTAATCATAGTGCTTTGATTCTAAAAGGAATATAGGTGCATATTTCATATCGGTGGCCAGAAAAACCTTGTAGTTGTATTTACCCCCCCTTTCCCCCCCCCCTCCTCCTGGTAAGTTCATGCACCCAAAAGTTCAAAGTACTGGAAGGAGATTCCAGACACCTGCGTCAATGAAACCAACCTTGGCTCGCATTACGACACACAACTGACAGGCCTGTAGAGATTCTCAGTCATCCAGGTCAGGGGTCTCCAATCTTGGCAACTTTAAGCATGGCAGACTTCAACTCCCAGAATTCCCCAGCCAGCTTTGAATTCTGGGAGTTGAAGTCTGCCAGGCTTAAAGTTGCCAAGGTTGGAGACCCCTGACCTGGATGACTGAGAATCTCTACAGACCTATCCAATTGTGTGTCATAATGCGAGCCAAGGTCGGTTTCATTGACGCAGGTGTCTGGAATCTCTTTCCAGTACTTTGAACCAGGTTATGGTTGTCCCA